TATAAGATGACTGATCTTGAATAAAATACAGGGTAATATTCCTGCATTCATGATTATGCATGACTGGAACGTTCGCACATTTCTCCGTCACAGTTTCCTTTATATAATCACAACAACAACAATAAAGAAGACCTTTGTCCCTCCCCCGGCTTGGGAACCATTGCCATAGATTTTGGTGAAAGAGAAGGAAGAATAAAAGAGAGAGAAAGAGAAGAAAGACTGAAAAACAATGTGCACACAGGCCCTCGGTTGACGAGACAGAGAGAGACAGACAGAAGGCGAGGCAGAGTGATCGCTACAAGGAGAGAATGAGAGGAAGATGAAGGAAGAGAACTATCTGTAAAAACAGGCCCTAGACTAGCAATTTTGACATCCTTGACAACTTTGACACAATCACGCCCCCCCGTGAACCCAATGCCCTCATGCCCCTCATAGCCAATTTGCCCATCATGCCCCTCATTCGACGCCGCCGCCCGTTAGCAATTTTTGCAGCCGATGCCCAGGAATTGGACCATGAGGTCGTAGGAGGAGACGAGGTTGAAGTGCGGCACGGAGGAGGGCCACTCGGAGCTCTCGTGCGGGGGCACACGGACGTCCTCGACGGGCAGGCGGTACGGGTGGAGCGCCGCCAGCGTCACTCGGGGCTCTTGCTTCACCTGTTGGCAAGACCACGCAGTCGTTAAACAAGGACACCGTTGCCGTCATCCAGGAGGTGCTGGTGGAGCGGGCAGAGCCGGAGGACCACGGTGTATTTGCGGTTCCTGAGCTCGAGGTACTTCAAAATGAGCTGGCGGTACGCCTCGTAGCCGAAGTGCGGCTGGGAGCGGTTCTCGTGCGGGGGGACCCAGATGCTGTCCCACGCCCAGGGGTTCGGGTACCAGACGGGGTCTACTAGCCAGCATCTCCGCCGCTGCCGGACAAGAGAAAAGAGTCAACGACCTTCGGCGCACAGGCGGGCAAGGTCTGTGCAGTCTCAGCTTTTCCTTTTTGGAGACAAGAAGAAAAATCAAGCATTTTTAAATCATTTTGTTGCAAACAGCTGAAGAAGAGGAATCATCATCTCATGAAGTCTGATAAAGGCCGACTTATATTATGAATACTATTGGGGAGAGAATTTAAGAATCAGATTTGGGAAGATTCGAAGAGAAGCGCAAATCATTCCGAGTCGAAAAAAGAAGAAAAAAAAATCGATGAAAACGTGCAAAGGTTCAACCGATCTTTCCAACACTGTTATTTGTTGCCTTTACGTTCCCCTGTTAGAAAAGAACATGCTCATGCGCATCTTAAACGCTCAATCCATAATTCACGAGTTCCTGAAGTGAAAAAAAATGTAAAAAAAAGCGAAGAAAAACAAAACAAAAAGTCCGGCGATGGAGGGTACAGACGCGCGTTTCCTTCCACGCGGTTCCAGCCACACCCGGAGGCGGTGCAGTTCAGATTTTTGGATTTTCTTTTACTATGGACTCACGGGCCCGAGCTTGGGCTTCCCAGTGTGGCTTCGCGCCCCGGCGGGAGGGAGGGAGCTAGTGGCCATACCACGCCGGCGGCAAAAGGCCCAGGAATCCGCACATGAGGTCATACGACGAGACCAGGTTGAAGTGCTTGACTCCCTTGGGCCAAATGGAGCTCTCGTGGGGCGGGATTACCTCGTCCTCGACAGGCAGGCGGTAGGGGTGCTTGTAGTGCAAGGGCAAGATCCTGACGTCGCCCTCCTCCAGGGAGCTCGGCCTCGGGAAGGGCTCGAACTCATAGCTGCTCGAGCGGGCGCGCCCCACGAACCGAGGCTCGCTGAAGGCGCGGTCCGAGTACAGGACTTCCCGGGGAGGCGAGTGCTTGATGCGCTGTGGGGGCGGGAGAGGGAAGGGCGTCACCACGGGACAACATGCATGGCGACAGGGGCAAGGTCATGCGATAACCTGGTGGTCTACATGTGGCAACATGCGTGCCGACGGAGATGAAGTCATGCAGTAACTTTATGAGGGACATGTTTGTCTAGGGAAACAAAGGAACGAGAACGAATGGTTTTCATAAAGCCATTTGTACGATAGACGTTTCAGAATTTCATCGTCGCCAGAATGAAACAATTCTGAACAACGCGTACCTTCCAAAAGGTCAATCGTACATCCAGCATTGTGAAAACTATCATTTCTGTTCCTCAAAATGACACAATGAATATTATTGAAATCTACCAAGTCCTAGGGCCATTAAAATGAATCTTACACAAGGTAGATGCACTTTGTCGAGAAGGGCATTTCCATGCAGACAAAAAGGGGTATGGCATGACACTCATTCTATGGATTTGCTAACATTTTTAAATCAATGTAATTCTGAAATCTACAACACTAGATTATCGTCATGCTATCTAGACTATAGACAATTCAGTGATAGAAACTAAGTGAATAAGTTGAATCTATTAACTACATCATGAGTTCTCGAACTTTAAACAATTAATTAAAATTATTTAACTAAAAATATTTGTTGTATCTAAATCATTAGTTAAAAGAAAAGATGTCACAAGGACGATTTCAAATAAGACAAGACATCTAAACGATATACCTTTTTTAGCAATTAATTATAAAGATTTGGCTTAGATAAGTCAAAAACGTTTTAAGGGAAAACGTTTTACGTAACGTTTCCTCGCTTCGCTTTGTTCTTGAGATAAATGATTAGTAGAACAACGGAAAGAGAGAAACGTTCTTTGCGTTTTCCTCCTAAAATGATTTTAACTTGAGGCCAAATTAGAGACAGATTTCTAAACCGTCATCTAAAGTATCTAAAGTGAAATGTGATGGTAAGCATACTCCGTTAATCTAAATAAAATTCTAAGACATATTTTTAATGATTACTATTACTATTTAAGTGTAAGAGTGAAGTGATGAGGGAGGGAGGGAGGGGAGAGTGAGGGGAAGGGGGGGGGTTGAGGTAAGTTTCTGCATCCAAATAGAGTAAAGTTTTTTTGTAAAATTAACTTGACCTTACCAGAACTGTGTGTGATGTGTCGGGAGGGACAAGATAACGAACATAAACATAACAGAAACAAACAAACAAAGAAGCGACTTACAATCATAAGACAAAATTGAATAGAAAACAAAAATAATAAAAAAAAAAAAAAAAAAAAGAAATACCATCCCAAAATGAAAATAATTGCAACGCAAAATCACTGCAATAAAATGAATCATAACAAGCACATACCAGCAACAGGTAATCTTTTAAACAACAACAGAAGAAAACAAACAAAAACAAAAACAAAAAAACAACAACAGCAAAGACATAACTACATACTACAAATAGCTGGAAATGTGGGTTGGATAAGCAGGCGTGTCAGAGGCACAAAAGAGGAGCCTTTTGAGGAAAAACAAAATCCGTTTATCAAAAAAAAAGTGCGAATTTCCTTACGCAGAAATCGGTTGGAGTTTTTGCTGGATTTTATAGAGCGAGGATTTCATAAAGCGTCGGCAAGCTTTTATGATATATATGCATGTGCGTATGTATATATATGTATATATTTATATGCGCACACACACGCACACACACATACACACAGATACATACATACATACATACATACATACATACATACATACAAGCATACATGCATACATACATGCATACATACATACATACATGCATGTATGCCTATATGCACACATACACACACACTCACACACACACACACACACACACACACACACACAACACACACACACACACACACACACACACACACACACACACACACACACACACACACACACACACACACACACACACACACGCACGCACGCATATATGTATATATATTTGTATATATCCGCATATGCATATATATGGATAAAATACAAACACACACACGCTATCATTTCATCGTTCCATTCTGTAAAACAAACTATAAAATGAAATAACGAAACGCAACACAATATAAAGCCGCGAAATAACGAAAATATCTGTAAAATAAACCCAAAGAACTAGAAAAAGAAGAAGAAAAATATTGCATTAGTCGGTAAAAGAGAGAAAAAAATCTGACTAACAATTCCCCAAAATCTGAAACAAAAGACAAGCGAAAGGAAACATAACGAGCTTAAAATAAATCAAGGTTGTTGTGATAAAAAAATCTAAAATGTTTTACAAGCTCTCGGCTCATATTTAGACGAATATTATTATGGATTTTTTTTAAAGACCTAACATTACCTTTGCTGTTAGAAATATTGTTAATAATCATACTTTTTATTTACCTCAGGTTTTGTTTGGTTTATTAAGTTTTGCTTTTAAACATAATGGAGCTGTACTTTGTAGCTACCTCTGGCTGTCAAAAATATAGGGGATTTATTATGAAACAAACATGAATAATAGGATGGAGTTGATAATAATAGTAATCTTAATAGAGAATTTAAACAGAAATAATACTAACAACAATACCACTAACAACATCAACAATAACAATAACAACAACAGTAGACAACAACAATAACAATAATAATGATATTACTAATATTGATAATAATAACAATAACAATAATAATAACAAACATATAATAATAACAAACATATAATAATAATAATAATAATAATAATGATAACAATAATTTTAAGGATAATGAAAATAATAATATAAAACACAATAAAATAACATTAATTATAATAAAAAAGACAAATCAACATTTACGAAAGAAACAAGGACGCACACGTAACAACACGAACACAAGAAAAAAAACAAACGAACATCAACAGTAACACGTAGACCACGGAATCGAACACCCCGCGCCACCCTCTCACCTCCACGAGCGACTGAGCGTCAGACTGGTTGGTGACTTCGACTTTCTCGGACTCGATCGTGGACCCTGAGGACTTCGACAAGTTCAGGTAGTAGTCAGTGTTGAAGGCATAAGGGCGGGCACGAGGCCTGAGGTAGGAGCGAGGCATGGCTGTGTCTGTTTGTCTGGGCGACTGGTCTGACTTTGGCTTCGGCCTTGCGTCTGGCTGGCTGGCTGGCTGGGGTCGGT